TAGTTTCTGGGTCACTTCCAACACCTCACATAGTTCTGATACATTTATCCTTTTTCCAGATCATTGTTCTCATGTATCTCATATGATATTTGTGGAAGTTATGTTCGCTACACGTTCACAGACGTAAATAGTATGACCTTCAAACCCTGATCCACACTTATTCCTACAGTACACTAGTCCGGCTCAACTGGACTTTCCCAATCATCTTATGGATACCCTGAGTTCTCCTTAATGCTATGAATACATACAATTAATATTATATAACCGTACCTGGGTACAATACAACACATGATTCAGTAACATTGAGTAGGTGAGTTATCCTTTATCAATGTTTCCCGTTCTCTGAGATTCTACAAGCGCGGTGGTTTTGAATGTTCTGTAGCGTAATATGAATTAAAGGTTTTTTTTAGGAATGACGCTGATGTGCGCAGTACACAGGTATGTCTTGACCCTTCGGTTGTCATGGATGAAGTGTGTGTGTGTGTGTGTTTGTCAATAAAATCCACTGCACATGGAATTAACTCCCTGTTTCACCCTGTTCTGCTTAATAGGACGACTGGACAACCACAAAACAGACGTGAAAGACTACATCAATGTTGCAACTTTTCTGGGATTTGTTTGTCTTTCTGGGGGTATGTGGTCGCCATACCTGTATACAGTAATTCGGTTGGGGAAGTACTAAAAACATATATAGTTGAGGGAGAATTTTCTTATATTTATATATGAAGATTTAACGTGTAATTTCTTATGTTTCCTTGTTTGTTTGTTTGTTTTTTTGCTCCCACTTACTGCGCTGCCTTCAGTGATTGATCTGTTAAGAGTTTCACTTCGCTTAGGTATTTTCCTTATCAACAGCCAGTTGACTGGGAACGTCGAAAAGGTTACCAAACTGGTGCCTGCGCTGTGCTTAATGGGCCTCCGGTATAGTACGAGGAACGCCTTCAATTGTTTCATTTATACTATAGACAGGGGAGGGGTGATTTAATAAAAGCTTGTAAGCACGCCCAAGGACATTACTCAGTCAAATGTTCATATATTGAACTAGTGAGTGTCTGCCTCAAGTCACAGCCCCAAGTTACAATGAGCTTTGAACTCTTGGAATATTTTGCCAGATAATGCTGTGAGGGTGAACACATTTAAAACCAGATTTTACCATTACCAGCACCGGTCCAAGACCCCGTACACGCCAAGTGCCTTTATAATAAATTAGTTACTCCCAATGGGCAGCTATCAAACAGGGAGGTACTACCGCCTGGCAAGATATTGGAAGCATAATGTGTTGTCTAATGGTGGACTCTGTTGCCATATGGCATCACAAAAACTATGACCACGTCCCAGGTTGCTGACCTGACTGTCTGCCTCCTTTACACACAATTACAGGGTCTCAATTGTTTCCCCAACTTTGACAACACAACATATATTTCGCTTCTCTTGGTCTGTTTTTTTTTTTCCATTTCTCTATTTATTTATGGTGCAATTATTTTTTTTCCTCCCAGGCCCCATTGTGGACTGGTCACCTGTGCACGTGTGAGCTAATCCCATTTTAAAACAAAAGACATAAAAAACATATAGCTTATAAAAGTTTACAGAAAAATTACCGCTCACCCGACCAGTGGCAAAGACGATAAACTATAAGAACCAGGTATATATATAATATCTAATTACCAACATGATTTTTTAATTATAATCTGCCTGGTGAATTCTACTGTTAGATTAATGCTAAGATGGAAGTAAAATCATTTCTACGCACGCATAAAATTGGCTTACCTTTTTTAATTTATTGTTTATAATTATGGACTGTTGCTAAGTAGGTTCATAAAGCAGATAAATTAACCAATTTTCTCATACAGGACAATTCTTTATTGAAATCAAATGAAAGGAACAAGGAACAGCTGGTGGTGATCGTGACGTCAACGAATGCTCGACACTCGACAGTCAATCTATAACACTGCCCTGCATAGTTTTTGAGGTTTGTGTATTATTAAGCTTTTCTGGGTGTATTTTGCATGCTGATCTCAAAAATGTTATCCATTTTGCTCAATCAGGTCAGAATTTTGTGCTATAGCATTTTAAGCGGAGATTCAGGTAAAATATTGGCATTTTTCGCTCAAAATGGGGTCCTCATATTCGTTCATTAAAAAAATCATCAGAGACATTGGCAAGCCTCACAGAAAAGATTTCGGTCAGTTTTAATGCCCTTACGGTGCATTTAAATACACCCACGTGCTCACCGGCCATTTAAATGTCCGCCGTGACGCAAAGGAAAAGAGTATATGTCCGTGTTTTTTTACATATATTTTTTCACAATTAAATTTCTTTTTCATCTGGTGGTACATGGCATGTACTAGCAACCACCCCGATGTGCCTCTAAAGTCTAGACCCTCAGTCAGTGTCTCTCGAGACTTCAAGAAAGTGGGAGTGTGTGCGTCTCTCTCTCTCTCTCTCTCTCTCTCTTACACACACACACACACGCATATTTCTAATCATATACACACCTCTTTTTTCTTCTTACAGAGTTGTACATTTAATCATGAATCAGAAGTGCAAGAACGACCCGAACAGGTTTTGCTATGTGTGCGGTTGTGTAACAATGACAGACCGACAGTGCACCATTACTCCCCTAGTGAAAAACTTATATCATGCATACTTTGGAATGAAACTTGGAGACCAAGATAAAGCTTTTGCCCCTCACATGTGCTGCAAAACATGTGTTGAAAATCTGCGGCGCTGGAGCAACAAGAAGATTCAACGTCTACTATTTGGCATTCCTATGGTATGGAGGGAAGGCAGAGATCATACCACGGACTGTTACTTCTGCATGACAAACCTTCAGGGTGAGCTATACTAATACATCAATACTAATATATCAAATGCAGTATGTTCATGCATTCTTAAATATATCTGTAAGTTAATATGTTATGCTATCTTGATACTAAATCTTTCGTTCACATTTCAGGTATAAACAGGAAGAACAAACATCATGTTAAGTATCCAGATGTACCCTCAGCCATCAAACCAGTTCCTCACGGACCAGGAACACCAATTCCAACTCCACCAGAAAACTATAGGGACATGATACTCGATGACGATCATGATATCGATGAAGACATAGAAGAGACTGACGCTTCTAGTACATACTTGCCCACAGCTTCTGCAAAAGAGCCCATACCCTTCAGTCAAGCTGAGTTGAATGATTTAACAAGAGACTTGGGCTTGTCTAAGGAGTCAGCTCAACTACTAGGATCACGGCTTTGCGAACACAATGTCTTAGCACCAGGAACAACATTTGCCTGGTACCGTAACCGTGACAAGGAATTTCGCAAGTTCTTCAGTTTTGACAAGGAAACTTCATTGGTGTATTGCAACAATATCAGTGGACTCATTGCAGCTATGGGAATATCATACAATATATCAGAGTGGCGGCTCTTCATTGACTCATCAAAAAGAAGCTTGAAAGCTGTGTTGTTGTTCAATGGAAACCAGGTCGCGTCTGTTCCGGTGGGGCATTCAGTGCAGATGGATGAGAACTACAACAACATGGAGTATCTGTTAACTGCTCTGAAGTATAAAGACCACAATTGGAAGATCTGTGGAGACTTGAAGGTAATTTAATACACCAAAAACAGTTGCTTTCAAAAATTGATATTTTGTTGACAGTTTTTCTAATAGGTAATATTGTCTGCCGACATACTGTCATATTATGAAGTGTTAATATTTTTTAATAATAAAACTATTCAGCTAAACATATTTTTAATCTGTTTTTTCCACAGGTTGTGTCCATGGTGCTGGGCCTACAAGGTGGTTACACCAAGTTTCCATGTTTCCTCTGTCTGTGGGATAGTCGAGCAGACAAGCAGCACTACATGCAATGTGACTGGCCTGCAAGAAGTGGACTTACTCCAGGTTCTCACAATGTTGTTGCCCATGCTCTGGTGAATCCGCAGAACATTCTTCTTCCGCCACTGCACATCAAGCTCGGTCTGTTCAAAAACTTTGTAAAGGCACTGGACAAAAAAAGCCAGGCTTTCAATTTTCTGAAAGAAAAATTTCCAAAAGTCAGTGAGGCAAAGCTGAATGCAGGAATTTTTGATGGCCCTCAGATCAGAGAGCTTTTCAAAGATCCCAAGTTTGATTGCAGCATGGATGTAAATGAGAAGAAAGCCTGGCATGCCTTTAAGTCTATTGTCTCCAATTTTCTTGGCAACTACAGAAGTCCAGAGTATGGACGAGTTGTTGAGGACCTACTTCTGAGCTACAAAGTTCTTGGTGCACGCATGTCCATCAAGATGCACTTCCTCAGCTCCCACTTGGACTACTTTCCAGAGAACTGTGGTGATGTGAGTGAGGAACAAGGAGAACGCTTCCATCAAGATATCCGTGTAATGGAGGAGCGGTACCAGGGTCGCTGGGATATCAACATGCTCGCCGACTACTGTTGGTGTCTGAAATGGGACGCCCCAGACACCAACCACCAAAGAAATTCTCTGCGACAGCCATTTATGCATGTCTAACTGTAAAGGCATCTATGTAGTTGACATATTTTGGTCCTATGTGTTGTGGTTACATTTCTTATGATATATTTTGCATAAAAATTTTGACATCATATTTAAGAATTTCGATTTTTTCCTAATTCCCATAGCATAAAAATCTGACCTGATTGGGCAAAATGAATGGCATTTTTGGAATCAGCACGCAAAATACATAAAGAATCAGCTAAGAAACCCCGCACCTCATGAATTTTTTTCAAATGCAGCCCAGTGAATTATTTGTTTGTAAACAAATCGGAGGGCGATGGCGAGAGCTAATGTTATGTTTACTCCCACGAACAAGACCACAAAACCATAGCCATTATTTAATTTTGTAACCTGTAGTATATTACCAGAGCATATAAAACATTTTATAGTAATACAAAAGTTTTATCTAGGTTGGTTTGGCTTGTTTATATCGTCTACAGATTAAATGTTTCCTTTGTCTTGTTCATACGTTGTTCTTAACATTGGCCATTGTGCAGCCTGACTGTGCCCCGATAAGAAGAACGAAATATAGAGTTAATTTTACGCTTCATATTTACAGGAATTTGATTACTTGTTGAAGATGAAGTTACCCTTGTTTGGTGGTGTGGTGGCTGGGTGTCTGTCTGCTGTAGGACTCACCAGCATCACCAAGCTGTGGACTTACACTGCCGAGGTGCCAGTTGAGACCAGCCTTTTATCATCTGATCCTGCAGGAGTATCATTTTTATCTCGGTCTAGTAGAGATGAAAACTCTGAGGCAATTATTGGACCAGGTAATATAGAACTTTTATGTTAGTAATTATAAAGACTTCACTGTACTTATTCTCTGTGAGTTTTGTCAGCTAATGTGCCCTCATGTGTGTACTGTATATAAGATTGAAATAATGTTTTTTAAAGTAGAAAATTTATTAGTTGAACCCTTATTGTACTATCTTTTATCTCAGTGTTGTGCTTCAGCTATAACATTAGAAGAAGACTGGTTCTGGTAATAATCTGAAGCGGGGTATGAGTCAATAGCAAGTAGCTTCTTGCCTCAAGAATATCCCAAAACATAAGGGGGATTTGCAATTTTTTTAATTTTGTTTTTTCCCTAGTTATTGTTGTAAGTAAATATGTTCTGTTAACCTGAGGGTACATATGTGGTGCTTTAAGTTAGGCATTTCTACACCTAACAATCTAACCAACCTAACCTAACCTAACCTACAGTAATGTATTTCCGTCTTAGGATTGGTATGTTAGTTAGGTTTGGTTGGTTCATCGTATCTATGAAGAATCATATGTACAGTCTCGTTCAAGATTCTTCGGACACTACTGGAGACGGCTGGCAACTCAAGGCTGTTTGTTTACTATAGTACGTAGGAAAAATTATGAATGAATGTAAAAGTGATCGATGATTGGTTACTTAGTCCCCATTGCTTTTTTTTTTATAGGTATTAGCCCACCCGGGCACAGGTCACTGACCCACATCAGGGCCTGGGGGGCGAAAATATAATAGTAATAGTAATAATAATAATCACTATTATTATTATTATGATAATTGATAAAAAATAATAACAAAATAGTAAAAATAAAAATAAAATACTAAAAATTATAATAATAACCATAAATAAATACAAAAATTAAAAAATAAATCAAGAATGAGAAACAATATACATTATATATGTTGTGTTGTCAAAGTAAGAGAAACAATTGAGACCCTGCAATTGTGTGTAAATGAAGCAGAAAGTCAGATCAGCAACCTGGGACTTGGTCATAATTTCTGTGATGCCATATGGCAGCAGGGTCTACCATTAGACAACACATGATGCTTCCAATACCTTCCCAGGCGGTAGTACCTCCCTGTTTGGTAGCTGCCTACTACCTAGCTTAATGGTTGGGCTTTGTTGTTTTGTATTATATTCTACTTTTCTGTTGGTATAATACTGTTAATTTGAGTTGCCAGCTGTCTCCAGCAGTGTTCAAAGAATCTTGAACGAGACTGTACCTCGCATACTCTTAATGTAGCAGTCATTGGAAGTGTTCATGTGTATGAAAAGGTTCTTGGGAAGCGTTCGGGTGGTCCTGTCTATGAAATGTTCCACACTCATGTAAGCAGCCAATATTGCGAGGCCAGTAGGTAGCACATCAATGTAAGTTAGTGTTCAGGAAAAAAAAGCCTAGGTAATATTATAAAAATATGAAGATCCTTGACATGATTTGGGATATTCTATGGAAAAATTGTCTAAAATTGCCAGTTGGCCCATGACCCTATTCCAGTGTATTACTAATAACTTCTTGCTTACCATAAGAATATTTCCCCAAATTATTAGGATTTGTAATTTATTTATAGTAATGTTATTTAGAACTGAAATCTGTACAGTATATGGATAGAGTAAGATGCCAGGTTGGATCTTCAGACATAACTCAATATAGATTAAATTATTATGTAACACAAAAACACATAATAACACTGTTAATTTTTCAGATGATGATCCTCGGCTCTCACAGATCTTATCATATGGCTGGCCAGAAGGAGGCCGCATCAAGCGCACATTTAAAAATCATGTCCTTGAATATGACTGTGCCCGGAGGACACCAACCTGGGTGGCAGAACACTTAACAGCTGAATTTCTCAAGGTAAGAGCTTGGTAGTTTATAACCTTAAATTTATATGTTGACTCAAGCATTGTTCACATTCTAAACATTTATGATGCACTACTTGGTATTAGTAATGAATATACTGTCGTAAGGATGAGAAGTGAGAATGATTTTATTAATAATCAGTTTCAGAGGGAAGTGTATACGAAATTAGGATGTTTGGACATAGGTAGTTTTTAAAATGTTATGTACAGTATATGTAAGCATTTGTTAGGGTCAGTGAGGAATACAATATATGAAAAAGAGTTGGATACAGTTTTATCTGCTATTTTTACCTTTTATAAATCACATATCATTAAATCATTTACTTTTTTAAGGATATACCAGATAACTCTTGTCATAAACATTGCAGATAAACATCCAAGATATCAATTTAGTTTTTATTTCTCTACATTTATATTGTATTGTCCATTTGCAGCACTACTGTAGAAAAATAAAAGTTGTAAATTATTTGCTGTGATATTTATACAGGATGTTCCGTAAATACCTTTCATAAATCAGGGTGTGTATTCCTGAGATATAAAGATAAATGAGTAAATGGCCCAATTGTCAATTCTCAATATTTTCAGAGTTACAGCACATGACAGGTCTGGGAGGAATGTGATGAAACCTACGGTCACCTGACATAAATCCCCTTGATTTTCTACCTGTGGGGTCACATAGAAAGCAAGGTGTGTGTTACAGAGGTCCCAAACCACAAGGAATTGTGGCACCGTGTGTGACACTTATTTGTGCGATGGGTTGAAGCCTGTATGAGCAAGAGGGGCGGAACTTTGAACATTTGCTGTAAATGTTAATACCAGCACAATTCATATGGCATTATTATTGTTAATAAAAGTCACTAGCAACAGCGGGTGTTTCATATACACCCCATAGGTTTCATCACATTCCTCCCAGACCTGTCATGTGCTGTAACTCTGAAAATATTGAGAATTGACTATTTGGCCATTTAGTCATTTATCTTTATGTCTCAGGAATACACACCCTGATTTATGAAAGGTATTTATGAAACCTCCTGTGTATTTGTTAATGAATAATTTAATGAATAAAGTATAATCTTGCTTTTCATAATTTGTTGCATACCAGTACTATACCTTATAAGCTTCCACTCTAAAATTCTGGCAAATGATTCTTACCTACTTTCATTGTCATCTTGGATAATGATTGATATTCATTTTGTACTTTTTATTCAGAATTTTGTTACTGTTATGTAGTATGTATACATTATGTGTTACATTGTTCCAGGGTACAGCAAACAGGCAGGCTTCTAGGTTCAAGATGGATCCTCACATACCAGAGGAGTTTTCAGCATTTAACAGTGATTATCGAGGCTCTGGGTGGAGTCGAGGGCATATGACCCCAGCAGGTGATAATAAGATGTCACAAGTAAGCTATCCCTATTACTGTACTGTACTGTAATTTGTTATTTTTTTATTTAAGGTTTATGTCGAGGACTTTCTTCTGTAATGTGAGTGGGTGATTAGAAAATATAATTAAAGTTAGGGGCATTTTAAGAGATACGAGCAAAGACATTTTAATTAGACGCAAAGACTAGCTATGTTTTCTATGCATTGATGTTGACAATATTAACTGATCATAATGGGTATTCACAATCATCAGACCAGAAAGCTTTTATGCATGACTTTTCCAGAGTATATTTGTGACAAACAGGATTTTTTTTTCAGAAACAGCTAATCAAAGAACCATTGATAATAAAATTATCCTTTAGAAAATTAGCTATGTTCAGATTGTTTGCATTTTTATTTTGAATGATTTTTGTTTTAATTTCTTGAGCCATTTGAGGTAATATGCCATGACTGTACAAGTCCTTATTTACAGGAATCAATGGATGAAACTTTTTACCTCACTAACATTGTACCACAAAATTTTGAAAACAACGGAGGGTTTTGGAACCGATTTGAGATCTACTGCCGGGACCTGACGCAGAGTTTCAAGGATGTGTGGGTTACCTCAGGGCCACTCTTCCTTCCAACTGAGGAGGAAAATGGCAAGAAAATTGTCAAATACGAGGTAAATTGGTCTTCTCCATATTTATACAGTGTAGTTTAGAATTTCAGAAATTAGTCGAAGGGAAAACCTTTTTGAGCACTAGCATTGATCTTATATCTGTGCAGGGGTCCTCATTGTATGTCAGTGATGTGTACCAGAGAAAAGCGACTTATAGTAAAATGTTTTATAATGAGAATTTTTCCCCATAAGAATTAATATAATTAGGGGTACTGTATATTCAGTATGTACAGTAATACCCCTTGAAAGTTCAGCAAATCAGCTTACAATGATTTCCTGTTTATTGTGTTTTGTTTTGTGTGTGGATGTATATTACTGTTGTGCTGTGGCAGATGAAACCTGTACAGTCATGAACAAATGTCCTGTCACCTCTCCTGCAGATTCACGAGCCCAAGATTCAGACTCATGAATCCAAGCAGTCATGGACAGAATAATGTATTAATATCTACTGCTTCTGGTTCATGAGTCTAAATAATAGAGTACATGTATGCAGGTAATGACAGTGAATGAAGTCAGTTTTAAGTACTGTTCTCTGCTGTACTTCAGTCAAAATATTAGTACAGTGCACATAACTTGTAGATCATCAGTACAGTATTTACAATTTTAACTTTGTGAGGAATCTTGATCCCAAAATACTCGTGTGAAATGAAATTATATACTGGATAAAAGAAGTTCAGCCTTGAGGTTAGTCTTTGCCTGACAAATGATACTGTATTTTGTTCAATATTATGTAAAGGCCCCAGACTAACAATATGTTTGCATGTTTATGTATTTGTGCATTATATATCTGTATACTTTTTCTCATGTATAATTTTGGAAACATTGAAATATTTGCAAGCTTTTTCTCAGTTTAATTCAAAACCAACTTTTCAGATTCACCCCACACAGCTCAGGGACTACAGCACTTTATTGGGCACCCTCATACATTTTGTGTAAGGCAAAGTGCAGAAGCATTACAGAACTTAACAGGGAAGCATGCTGAGTACATGCTTGCCTTTTTTGCCTTGATGATGGGTGGGCGAGAGTACCTGAGAGGCCATTGGTTTTGTTAGCCAGTTACATGTGGTGAAGTATGAATAAGTGTATATACAGAGGATTGCCTGTGCAGTTCATATGCTTATGGCAAAGTGTGTTAGGTCCATAATATTGTCAAGTGCCAGGACTGTCGCTAGGAGGAGGGATATTTAGTCAGGAAGGGATGTTGAATGGGAGGATAAGCGCAATAGAGGTAGATGGAGGCACATAAATTTTGGCAGGACATATTGAGGGACATATTTTTAGTATTTTTGTGACAGAATTGTTAGGAATGCCCCTGGAGGTTCCAGGGGACAGGGTGCTGGAGGTGCTCATGGTGGTTGGGGTGACATTTCCGAGTCTTTTAGGAGGGACAACTTTGAGGGCTGGAGCAGGTGTGGTTGGTGATTAGTGGACAAGTTGAGCACATGATTAGTTTGAAGGCATAGAATAGGTAGAGCCCACTGGGATAGACCCAGAGGGGCTACATCAGCATTGTTGGACGACAGTAGGGAGGCATGGCTCTCAGGGGAGTAACCAGCTTGAGAAGAGCCTTGAGAGGGGAGTGAGTGGTGGCAGTAGTTGTTATAGTTTGTTGTGGTTTGTTGATAGCTGTAAGGAGACCTGTTTATAGCTATGCAAACCCTTAATTCTCTTCCTCCATGCATCGCTGAGTTTGTGTAGGAGGGACAGGAGTCATCACAGGACACTGTTCTTGTTGGGGGAGTTTTGAATCATGGGTGGATACAGAAGACTTGTCATAGTAGTCTACTGGTGGCAACTGGGTGTGGCCAGTAAGGGGGAGCAGCAGGTTTAATTATGCCACATGAATATTGAGAATTATTTTGTAATCCTTTTTCAAACAGGTTATAGGTGACAGTGAGGTTTCAGTTCCCACTCACCTGTATAAAGTGATTGTTGCCAAAAATGGTAATGAAACTGTTACTGGGTCATTCATCGTGCCCAATAAGCCCATAGACTACTCTCATCACCTGAAGGAGTTCCAGGTATCCATGAATTACCTGGAGAGAAAAGCAGGTGTCAAATTTTATACTAATTTAAACAGGTGAGTTAGAATCTTCCTTTGATTCTTAAAAAGCCATAAAAAATATTAATGTATTTGCTAATTTATTTCAGATATGGTCAGAATAATATTAGTTGATGTTTGAACATAATGTACTTTCCTTAATATCATTGGTTATATGGTCTGTTATGATCTTGTTTTATGATTGTTTTCCTGTGAATTAATAGTGTAACACCTATACAGTACATAAAAATCTTCTGAAGTGTTTTAAGAGCCAGATAACATGTTTTTTGTGCAGCATCACATTTTGCTATTGCAGTACATAAGTCAAAGCCATATTGTTGGGTCATCCAAGGAATATAATGGCAGTTAGGTCGATGTGTATTAATGGATTTCTACTTGTAAATTCACTTATCCAAAGGCAACCATTCACAAGACTTCATGGAGTAGTTATGTTACAAATGTTCATATTTAACTGGTTGAGTGTTGAGGTACATGGTGTTCTGACAACCTTGGTGATGGGGAGAAATTTATTTTTATTATGCGTGTAAAACTGCTATAGATGATACTGTAGTCAATCATCTTTACATATTTCTATAAACAGTTTATTGTGTTTTTGTTGGAAAATGATTTTGTGTCCAAATATGGAATGGAAATTGACTATTTTTGTTTTACCCTTAATTTGATGTTACCACCTCAAGTTGAGTTCTGTTATAATGCTGATTTTTACCATCTCAATCTACTTACTTTTATTAACCTTCAGAGAACTAGCAGGTGATCTCTGTGAGCAGAATGGTTGCAACTTACTGACAAAAACCCAGACGGACCAGTTTGTCTTCACTCAGAGACTCAAGAAAGTACCCAATTTGAAAAAGTTGACAAAGCTGTGGCAGGAGATCCAGGTAAATCGCTGAACAGGAAATATGAACCAGATATCAAATGAATTATTGTTACATCATCATAACCCCTTAGCTGATGCCTAAGAATCACAGTGAGGAAGAGTATCAGTGGATTATCAGTGCCAAGTATTTTAAAGCAGTAATAACATTGTAGTGCCATGTTATCTTGCACCTCTTTTTCTTTGCCCATTCTTATGCCAGGGTATAGGACTGCCTTTACTTTTTCACCTCCGTTTTATTTTTCCTCAACTTGTATGTTCTAGGTTGAGGCATGGTCTTTCTTGAGCCCTCTGCAGCACATATACAACCATACCCATTTTCCCTCTCAGTCTCCCTTTTTTTATCTAAAGCCATGACTTTGGCTCTGTTATTGGGCCAGAGCCTTTCACCTCAAGTGTTAGGTTTGAGGCCATTAAGAAGTGTCATCTGAATTCTTTCTTTCTTTCTTTCTTTCAAGTTTGTATATGAAAGATCAGATCACTGCCTGTCTGTTTATCTTTCCTTGGCCCACTAGATTCTTTGACGTGGATAATTAGTTCTTGTTGGAATACAGTCTCTCTTTTTCTGTAATATGTCTGGTTGAATGTACAGAAATAAGAGATTGTGTTACTCAGCTTAAAGTTGTAAATTATGCCTTGAGAAATATGATAAGCAAACTTGAAATATATATTTTGATTTTTCATAGATTAAAATATCCTTTATTTGATACCATTTGGTCTATGTTTTGAGATAATGATGTACTCACTATTGTCATATCATTGCAGGATAAAGAAATCCCAGTAAATAAGAAAATGCAAGACATATACCAAAGACGTCTACTTGAATTACCTGACGAGAAATCCTCACCAACAAATTCAACACCAGCAGCTCAGGGTGTTGATGTGACTTACCAAGAAAGAATTACAAAGAAGCCTCTGGTTGATGTGGCAGACCCTGAATTAGCGTCCCAGCAAACAGCTCGAGCAGCAGCCAGTGGATGAACGATTCAATTTCCAGTCCAATGAAGAGTTGTATTTTTCTTCATAGTAAAGGATGGCTGTGGTAACTTTCTAATAGGTTATGAATCAAATCAGTACTGTATGTAGAAAATGGGAATATATATAAAAGATAATAATGTGGTTTTGGTGAGTGATGATTCCTGTATGATATGCTTTACAGACATATGTAGGTGTGTAAGTCTGCTTTGCTCCTTGTGATGGTAGTGATGTTCAAAGACTGTGACACAGTAATCTTTCACCAGCTTGTCAGATGTATGTGCTTCCTCCGGACTAGTAAACTTGTGATAGTATCTTGATCTTGAGAGGCTATGTTGTAACTGTAGGCAAGCTCATACATACTGAAAACAAATTTCCTTTCACAGTACAGGTCTGTGTCCATTAATACTCAATGGTAATTCTGTGTAGTATAAGTTAAAGTGTGTAAGAATTATAATTAATTGTTATTAGTTCAATGTTTCAGAAAATAGAAATGTGAATGGAATCACGAACTTGTGTTAAAGAATCAAGATAATTAATATATTTTAATTGATCACTGCAGATTCATGAATTTAATGAATTATGAACCAAGTCAAACTGTGCTTCTGAAATATAAAGTAACAAAAGTTTTGTTTTTTGTAGTACAGCACCTTCAATAAAAGAAGATATATCTCCAGTTAATTTAACATCCTTAGTCCCCCATCTTCATCCTTCAGTCAGTTGCCATGCCGCTTCTCTGTAAGGCCAACTCAAGATTCTCATCCTAGAGCTGCCATCAACTTTTCTAACCCCAGTTTTCCACTCATAATATATTTTCAGTAAAGTGTCATCATCTCGCATTTCTCTTCAGATGTCCATATAAATATAGCTAGCTGCGACAACCACAGTTCTCGTGAATGTGCTCAGTTTAAGTTCTGTTTAATCATTTGACTCCATATATTATTCTTAACACCTTCACTTTTGCTGTTTGTCCAAGACCTTCCATCTTAGGGGTTAATTTTCATGTATCTGACCCATATTTTAACACAGGTCTGAGAAAAGATGTAGTATAGAATGGGAGTTTTTCTTCTTTGGATATAACAGATTTACTTGTGCTCTGTATTCACTCAATATTTTTGGTAATATTTTGTCTTTGTTGATAAGGCTTTCGATATAGTGTGTTTTCTGCACTTGAAGAGCTAAATTCTTTGAGTGTGTAACAAGTTTATTAATTACATTAGTCTATCGGCAATACCATTTATGAGGGATAGAATTCACGTTGGGTACAAAGGATTGTGTCAGTGGACGAGATCTGTCCAAAAAGAAACCGAACTTTTTAAATAGCGCGCCAACGAGCCAGCGCAGCGTGCTCGCGATGGGAGCACTGTGTAGCGGTGACCTTGACCTTTGGTCTAACACTAGTCGCATCACGCCACGTCAATTAGTCATCGAGCTACACGTGCTAGAGTGAAAGTGTGTTTAGTGCACTTGGCGATTTGTTGCAAGTTGTACAATGAAGGATCTTGAAGAGCAACGTGTTTGTGTGAAATTCTGTTTCAAATTGGGAAAAACTTTTAAGGAGACTTTTCAAATGTTGCAACAGGCTTATGGGGAGGATTGTTTGAGCTGTACGCAATGTCAGGTGTGGTACGAGCATTTCAAAAGGGGAAGAACATCCACCGAAGACGATCTCAAATCTGGACGTCAGAGGCACTCAAATGTGGAGGTGATGTTGATCGTCTTGTTTGATTGGAAGGGCGTCGTTCATCTTGAGTTTGTTCCACGTGGTCAGACAGTCAATAAAGAGTTTTACTTGGAGGTCGTGAAGCATTTGAGGGAGGCAGTGCGAAGGAAGAGGCCTGAGGCGTGGACAAACAAGACCTGGATGCTGCACCATAACAATGCACCTGCTCACACGTCGCTCCTTATCCGTGACTTTTTGGTGAAGCACAAGACGACTTTTTTTTTTCCAAAAGTTGAAATCCACCCTGAAAGGTCGCTGATTTCAACCGATAAAGGGATAGAAGAAAATTCGCTATGAGACCTGCACATCATCCCTCAAAACGCGTTCCAGGACGTGTTCCAGAACTGGATAAAACGTTGGGAGCGGTGTATCAACAGTGGAGGGGAGTACTTTGATGGAGACAAGTCTGATTAAGTTGTAAGTAAAGCAATAAATTTGTTTTTTAAAAAGTTCTGTTTCTTTTTGGACAGACCTCGTATGTGTACATTCTTGTCCTTCGTCTTTGTCTTAATATGTTTTTGTAGTATGATAGTGATGCTAAATTGGCAAAGATTAACAAGTGTATTAGCATTTTTTTTTTATGCTGATGAACCCACGAATTAAATTACTTCTTTTTTCGTAAAATGTAAGTTTACCCGATCATGTAAACTTTTTATCATATTTTCTAGTGTATTATGTCTCCCAGTTGTATTTAACCTGGATTTCCTGAATATTTTGGGGGGTTTGTACACCTGCTATGTTACACTGATGGAGAGTGAGTAGAGGACTGTGTTAGGATATATACATAAGGATGGAAAGGCATGGCAGAGACTTAGTGAAACCAAGAGATAGTTCATCAAATGTAGATAAACAAATACAGCTCAGTATTTAGAAATATATAGCACCATAGACTTACACAGAAGCCAGAAAGAGACATCTCAAGTAAGACACACCGGAGAAACACAGACACAACTGAGTGTACGTCAGACAGCTATAAGTCATCGGTCCCAACACCAACCCCATAATCTCCAGCTGTCTACACACCCATCATTCCCTACCTGCACCCTCACTAGCCTCGTCTGGGGATTACAGAGGCCAAGATAATCACCAGTTATTATTGGGAATTGGTCGATTCCTTGTTTTATATTTTGTTAAAGGTTGGATCCCTTTAAAGGTGAGATCTCTTCTGATTCTCCCTTCCTTGAATTCCCATGTTTTTACATGACCAGTCCAGCTATTGACATTTTGATCTAAGTATTTCTGTTCATTCTCATCATTTTTATTATTTGATTTATTCCTCTTCTGTCTGAACTTCCAAATACATCATTTATTTTATAAACAGCCAACCTATGTTTCTCAGAGAATACTTTTATTGATTAGATATGATAATGCTGTGTTCATATATCAGTTGTTAAGTAAATTGGTAAAGTTTTTATATTAGATAATTTTAATACTATATACAGGTGTAGTATATTAATTTCTTTATACAAAATCATATGTTGAAGTATATCAGAACTACTCTTTTGTTATTGCAAAAATTTTTTTTTAAGAAGTTTTGCAGGTAACACAAGACAAGCATGATTGTCAAGTCTTTTCACAGAGGTTTATCCTTAGGTTAATTAGACTAGAAAAATGAAGTAGAATATTTGATGAACTGCTTTTATGTTATGCGATATTGGCAAAATACTGTGGCAGAGAGCCCTGCAGGGAGATAGTCTGGGATATAAATGAATTTTGATAGGAGAGGTTCTGCAAGATGGATTATTGACAGCAAAGGTATGGGCCCTCCCAGATACCCTCATAGGTTGATGGTGGGTGTACATCAATGGCACTATTGACTGTACGCTCTACTGTGTAGCTCGTAAGGAGAATGACTGGACGTATCTATATTAAGAGAAAAGGGGATGAGATGCTCCTGTGAAGGTCTTGTAAGATCCTTTATTGATGAGTGTTTTTATGTTTTTGCTGTGCTAGACCGAGGACGTAAAGTGCCAGAACACCACACTCAGCTGGCAGCAGCTGTTTGTAGGGAAACTTTACTCAAAATTCTGAGTTCTCTTTCGTTTTTCCTGGTGATTTACTCCTCTGTCTGAAATAAGAAATATTGTTTAGTAATTCTGTAAGACAAATTTGCTGAAATTTATCCTAACTGCTTTGCGGAATACAGCTACTCCCCGACTTACGACCTACTCGACTTACGACCACCCTGACATACGACCGCCTCAGTCGTACCAAAATTTTGTCAAATTACGCATTTTCGAGTCCCAACGTCAGTGATTGCGCTGTGTACTGACAAAATTTTTGTTTGTAATTCACTTTAAAATGGCTGGCATTTTCGACTTAAGACCATTTAGACTTACGACCTGGATTTGGGTCCCTAACCCCGCCGTAAGTCGGGGATCAGCTGTAATTGTAAACATTACCTCTGTTCCATCTATGACTAAGTAATGAGTGTCCCTTAACACCTGAGAGTTTTTTAGATTCAGATGTAAGTTTAGTGAGGCGTGTGTGTGAGTCCTTGTGTCTAACTCATTATTGATCCTCTGCTGGCCAAACAAGAACCATAAATGTGGCTACTCACTCACCACGGCAAATTATGCTCTTTGTTCTTAATGATGTGTGAGGTGTGTGTTGTCCATCTCACTAATTCGTTTTATTATAATTTATATTTTAATTATCTGAACTAATTAATTTTTAGTACAGTATTTGTATTTTTTTTATATACTGGGGTATTTTACATATAAGCATGACACCTGCCACTGGGAGTTTGTTTATAAAGCTGATGAGTTATGATTTTGAGTCTTGTCCTCCTACACTGTCCAAGTTCTTTGTTGCAGCAGCTATCACTGTTCTCCTTTAGTCATTCTCATATTCTTAAAAACTTAAATTATATCAAGTTTACTTTGCTTCGCTGTGTTTGTGTTACGGTAACTTTTGGGTAAGTGGCTGGTGGCTGGGGATATTTACAGTACCCATAAACTAAAGTAAACTATCACAGGGGTTAGTGACCCGAACCCTTACTATTAAAAGCATCGTCAGTGTGAGGGTTTTACGACGCCGGGGGGGGGGCGGTTCCGTTCACTCATCACTGATAGGTTTATGGATGTTACATAAGACAAACATTCTTCCGTCTCCTGCTGACAGTAACGATCTTTTATGGTGAGAACAATAAGCGATTGATTGAATGGGTCCTTAGTCTTAATAGACCCTTAGACATAATAGGGGCTAATCTTAAGAGGCATGTTTTGTAATAGGCCCAATCTTCATATACTCCAATGCTAATGGGCCCCAATTCCACTGAACCCCAGTCATAACGGGCCCAAATCTAATCCATTTCAACCACTAGAACCGGAGCCTACTAGACGTAGCCCATCTACAGTAACCTTTCAGCCTATGGTAAAAGAAGACCCTGCATATCAGGTAGAGGAAATCAAGGAGTGTTTTCAAAGAGTGATGTAAAATTCGACCCCAGGCAGGTAATTATACCAACCAGGGTCACTCCTAATTGACTCTCTGACCTTCCCTGAACCCTCGCTTCTAATTAACTTGGTAACCTTGGCTACTTGAATCTTTTTGTTGTTGTTTCGTGAGTAGACATTATGTAGTGAACAAGACAGAAATGATAACTATAGCTGTATTGTAACCAAATTTAACTTCAGCTATCTAATTTCACACTGACTTAATGTATTATTGGTTAGAATTAATTAGGTTAGTTGAGGTTAAACAAACGTGGTAAAAGGAAATTAACCTAATGCTTAAACACTAATTTAATGCATTGTAGGTTAGTTTATGTTATAATTTGGCCAGGTTAATTTAGTGTTAAAGAGTACGGTAGTGTTATCTTGTTAAAGTCGGATTGTATATAACAGAGAAAGAGAGAGTGAGTGAGAGAGAAAAAGAAAGGGAAAAAAGTAAGAGAGAGAAAAGAGTGAGTGAGTAAGACTTTGCAACACTACACCTTACAGTACTG